ATCGAACCAAACACAACAAGAAATTAGAAATCCACCAAGAACACAGCAACAAAGATCAAAGTAACACAAAAAAATCAAAATACAAAAAATATCGAGCAACAAATATCACAAGGCAATCAAGCAAATCACAAGAAAAAACACTAAAAATATAAAAGGCATCAAGGTCGAGCGTTGGTCTCGGTTCGAAAAGGAGGAAAATCGTTAGTCGCCATCGAACGAGGGTAAGACCCAAGAGGTTTTTCTTAGATCTACTTTGATAGGGGTGTTGTTTGAGCGTTTTGGAGGCTTGTTTTGGGTTCAGGACGTTAAGAGGAAGCTTTGGGGTAGGCCTTTAGGTTTTCAGCCACCAGAGGCAGTGGCCGGGGTGGCGGTCCGAGCGGTTATGTCTCGTTGAGAAGGTGGTCGGCTATAGGCCGATCGATTTTGAGGGAGAGAGTTTGAGAGAGTTTTGAAGGTTTTTTAGGTTAAAAATGATTTTTTTTTGTTTTAAGGGCTATTTGTAGGGAGGGTCATTGTGCAATTATGAAATAGTTAAATTATTTTGCATTCCCTGCATATTTGATGCGTTATTCATTTTGGTCGCCTATTGTAAATTTTCCCTGGAATTTTAAATTAATTCAATTTAGTCCCTATTTTATTTTTTATATTTTTTACAATTTAACCCACTAACTTTTATTTTTCTCTTTGAAGTTTTCAATTAATTCAATTTGATTCTTGATTTTTAATTCTTTCCAATTTAATCTTTTTAATTTAAATTTTCTTTTTTATTTTAATTTTTTTACTTTATTCTAACCCTAATAATATTTCTTTACATTTATTCTTTTATCTTGTTTTATTTTATTATTTAACTTTAGTTTTAACTTTTTTAGGACAATTTTAATCGATCAAAGGTAAGTAATTTGGATCGAATTTTGAATTTTAATTTAACTTTTAATTTTAATAATTAAGACAACCGGGAAATTAAATTAGTACTGAAAGGGCAGTACAAAGGTGCTAATCCTTCATTAACTGTAATCGACTCCTGAATCAGACAAATTTCTGGTAAAAATACAGATCATGTAAAATGGTAAATTAAGGTATTCGATCAACCTAATCTTAAATGATCGGTGGCAGTTCCAACACATTAAATTCAAGTCGAAACCCAATTATGGGCCTACCCGAAGGACTGTTACAACAATAATATTATATTTCAAAGAATTTATTTCAAGGATAAAGTATTAATGAAAGCATAAATGAGTCAAATAATTGATGAGAATAAAGATTTTGTGAACAATTACAGTCAACAGACCAAAGTAAGTAAAATACAAAGTTAAGGGACTAAATTAAAAATATAGTACATTTTTAGCCAAAAAAAAAGGAATTGAAATTACATAGGTATTAAATAATGGTATGGGAGCATGTAGTTCAAATTTGGTCAAAATATACTTGAAATGAAGGATGAATTGAAGAAATAAGAAAACCATACTAGGTGAGGGACTACATTGAATAAATAGAAAAATTATTATCAAAAAGTGGAATTGAAACAATATAAGTATTCTATGATGGTTTAGGAGCATGTGGTTTAAATTTAATAAAAATATACTTAAAATGAATAAGGAAATTAGGAATTAAATTGTAGATTTATCAAAATACTCAATCAAACTTTCAATTTTTCAAATGATTCAAAACTTTTAAGTCTCAATTCGACTCGAACTTAAAAATCGACTCAATAATTTGAGTTGACTCAAATAAAGTGAAATTTTGCTCTCCTATCCAACATTTACTTAGATGTAATATTTTCCCCAAATTATTTTGAGTAATTTTAGTAAACATTGTGAATAGGATGGACATGAGTCGAGTTGGGTTGGGTTTTCGGTCAACCCGATCCGACCCAAAATTATACATCCTCCACTCGACCCAAAATTCGATCCGACTTTTCGAGATAAAATTCAAACTCAACCTAACCTTACCTGACATGAAATACGAAATAATACTTTTATTAGAAATATTATTTTTATTCAATAAAAATAGGAATTTAATTAAAAATAATAATATATAGAGGTGTATTATTGCAATTATCTCTAAATATATAAGGTAAAATTATTTTTTTTAAGGTCTAGTCGAATATTTTTCACCCTAAATCCGAACTCGACCCGACCAAAACTTAACTCGAATTTTTTTAGAAACTTAATCCAATAAGATTGTGTCGATTCAAAACCTGTCAAGTTCCAGTCTTGTACCTATCCTTAGTTGTGAAGGAATGTGCTCAGCGTAAAGGAAGAACTCGTCAAAACACCTCCGCCTCATACAGCATTATTTGCCTGCTCATTAAACAACCATAACTCCGTCCTTTTTTTGAGAGAAGAAAAAAAAATCAAAGAAACATGCCACGTCAAACAGCGAAGCCTGACAGCCATGAATGTTGGTGTGCTCCACGTGGTGATGAATGAGAGAGGTGGAGACACGTGTCTGACAACCTCGTACGTGGCTAATCATCATCGAGAGTCGTACTCTTTACTCCTACGTAAAAATGAAGGAACAAGCCCATTCTGTTGGAACTGATTTCACATTGGTTTGGTTCACCTGTTTGCATTTTCATGAAACCCTAAACCAACCAACAGAGAACAGAAAAAAAAGGTTTAGAATTTGATCAGAGGGTTTCCAAGTTTGGATAAATGTTGTCATTATTAAGGTAGTGTTTGGTTTTGCAGAGGTAAAAGGTCTGCGGACCACATCTGCAGGCATCTGCAACAGAAGAGGTGGACCAAAAGTCTGCAGTCTGCAAGAAGAAGATTGTTTGTTTTTTAACGTCTGCAGACTGCTAAAATGAACTGAAATATAAATAAACTGATTTTTTAAACTTAAAAGAGTTTTGCAATACTGAAATTTAAATAATTTTAGTTTTACAATACTTAAATTTAAATAATCTATACAACTACAATAATAAATTATTTAAAATAAATCAATCCATATTTTAAAATAAATCAATCCATACTAATAAATTATTTAAAATAAATCAATCCATATAACTACAATAATAAATAAATCCATATTTTAAAATAAATCAATTCATACAAATAAATTATTTAAAATAAATCAATCTATACTAATAAATTATTTAAAATAAATCAATTCATATTTTAAAATAAATCAATCTATACTAATAAATTATTTAAAATAAATCAATCCATATTTTAAAATAAATCAATTCATACTAATAAATTATTTAAAATAAATCAATCCATATTTTAAAATAAATTAATTCATACTAATAAATTATTTAAAATAAATCAATCCATGTTTTGATCTGAAAATTCAGAATTTTCTTTTCTTTTCTTTTCGTTTTATATTTATCCATGCAATGAAAATACCCAGAAATTCAGATTTTCTGTACCGACCATAATTAGAAATCAGAGTCATCGTTTTGGATTTTGTATCGATGATTACGTATCCTAGTTGGATTAGATTTTTCAAATAGATTTTAAATTCAAAGAAACAGCTGTCGTTTCATAATCCAGCCTTTCTTCTGCTTGCTTATAACTATTCCTTTTGTTTCATAAGTAGTCTCCCCAAGGAAGCAAACTAGAAAGGCTTTGAAGAAGATGGAGATTGTTTACCAGCCTTTTATTGATCCTGAGTTTGAATCCCTTGTTGAAAGAATCAATGCTCCAAGGTACTGCAATCTGCAAACAAACATTATAAACTCATCTTCTTCTTTTGTTTGGTTTGGTTTAATTCTTCAGTTTGGTGTTTGCAGAGTTTGTATCGATAACGACACATGCCAACGCTGCACAGTTGTTAAGGTTAGATTGATATGAACTAAACTTCATTTTTGGTTGATGTAAAGTACTCCTACCTTTTTAATTGATTATGGATCTAGGAAGAAAGCAAAAAACTGCATAAGTGAATCGCTTAAATAGATGATTTGATAGTAAATGTAAAGATGAAATGGTAGGTTATTTATGTTATGAGAAATGATAGCGGAAGTATGTTGTTATGGCTATGGTATGGGTGATGAAACAAAGGAAGATTGGTGAGGATAGTATCTTAGAAAAGACCAAAAAAGAACCAGTGATATAAAAGTAAAGACTCAGCCTTATAAATCTTTCTAAGGTAACAAGGACTTGGACCCACTATCTATAGTGAGATCAGAATCAAAAGTATCAAAAGAAAGGGATTGACGTCACAAGTAATTAAATTACTTGATAAGTCGATACAAATCACAAGGACTTAAGAAAGTAGAATAATCTCACTTTAAATTATAAGAAAGGTGTGTTTACAAATGAATAGGATTAGTCTATTTATATTTTGAAGGGACTTGGCCGAATGGATACATGGTCGTTCGGCCAGCCCTTTAGTCTCTCTAAAATGACATAATTAATTAATAAAAATCATGAAAACATAGGTGCTGGTTCAGTTGGAATGGGGAGTCTTAATCCTTGGCCGAATAGTGCTTGAATCCCTTCAAATTGGTGCCAATTTGGAGGAGAAATGATGCTTGACCGAATGATTATGTGGCCATTCATCTTGGATTTTTGTTGTTCCAACGATTTATTATTATATTATTATTATTATTATTATTATATTATTATTATTATTATTATTATTATTATTATTATTATTATTATTATTATTATTATTATTATTATTATTATTATTATTATTATTATTATTATTATTATTATTATTATTATTATTATTATTTTGCTGAATGGATGTTTTTAAGCATTTCAATAGTTGATAGGCAAGAGAAAGGATTGAACTCGCAGTGCACAATGCAACCTAAAAGATTCAAAAAAAAATCTCATGTTAGTTTGATTTTTGTGTATTTGCTACTGAAATGTTTGATTGTACTATTATTAACAAGCAATTAGGTAACTATTTGATTGTGGTTCCAATCTACAGTTAGATTGATTTTGGGATATATTTATGTTGATTCCCACGGATGGAGGCAGAATTTTATGTTAGGGGAGAAGCCGAACTTATAAAACTTTAGGGGATGAATTTATAAAATTTCATGTATTGGCAAATTAGCAATAATGAATCCAGGAATGATAGTTTCATTGGTAATTTCACAATCAGGAAAACAGCTATCAAATTATAGTTTGTTGTGCAAGTACAATTTGACTATGCCAATACTAGTTTAACATATAATTTTTACTATTCCGTTTATCTTATTCCAGCAACCAGAACCTGAACCTGATAGCTCAAAACATTGTCAATCTTGGTGTTCTTTTGGTCACTCATTCTGCTACTATTCTTTTTCTTTCGTCCGAGTGGCATTCTGATTCTCACTTATTATTGAAAGTGACCGTCAGGTGGCTGTATACTAGCTTAAGGATCCTTCATCTCTGGTTAATAGGTTCATCGTGCAAATCATAATGAATGTTGGATTATCCAGCATATATTGCGTGTGCAGAATACCTTTTGTATGGGGTGAGAACTTTGTTCTCTTTCACAAATAAATCTGCCCAGTATTAGCGTTTCTACAGCTTCCACAGGTGATGACTAAAGTGGTGGTTTACTCAACTACTTCTTTTAGTGTTGACTAGTTTGGCTCCCTAGGTTCTATAGAGAGATGCTTCTATTAGTGTCGTGGATTTGGTAGCATGGAATCTCAAGTTCAATTGCAGTGCGATGGTAGTCAAAATTTGTGCTTTGATCTTGGTTGCAGATTTGCTGGGCATTGTAGGTTTTTTGCTCCTTGTTCTCGATCCATAATAGTCTGTTCTGCTAGTTCTGGTGTGTTTTAGTTGCATTGTTAGTTTTGTTCTAGGGACCGATCCCTTGGTTTGGGTCTGTTTTGCATTTGTTTCTTATTGTAAGTCCTTGTATCGGATACTGGTAGATTGGTGTCTATTTTGGTTGTGTTTAATAAAATTTTGGGTACTCTTTTCCCCTTCCACCGTCTTGTTTGAGCTTAGGCTTCCAGATATGAGGGGGATTTTAATGAGGTCCTCCTTACCTTTAAATATATATATATATATATATGCATGCAAGATAAGTCTGCAAGTTTTAGGCACAGTTCCTGTTCATGTCTCTTCATGCTTCAACATCACTTACCAAACTGCAGTTATTGTATTTTTTGGAGTTTGGTACACAGTTTAGTTGTGAGGTTTGCAGATAGTTGGCTTATACAGTTTCCTGCACTCTAGGCACAAGTTGTTGAAGGGTATAGTTTTTAGTTCGGACTTTTGAGTTTTCCCTACAAACTTGTGTCGTTACTCTTCTGAACATTGTACTTTACGCGTAACAAATTCTTGGTAGTTATGTAAAACTGTCAAGTCCTCTGTTTTGCAACGTTGATAAGAACTAAATTAATCGGTTGATATATGTGGTTTTGAAATTGCTTTTCTTGTTGGTTAGCTAACACTGCTCATGAAGTCCGTTAATGATGACTACGGTTTATGCTTAATCCGTTATGCCGGAATTAAATGTTAATTTGTTATGCCTTCAATAAGATTTTGGTATCTGCAGGATGACATCTTGACATAGAATATAATCCTTCAAATGTTCATATATTTGCAGTTTTGCTAAAGCCTCAGATACTGCTAGAACAGATCGGTCTTCATTCACCAAAGGCTATTTTCTAAACAGAGAGACTCTGGTTGCTGTTCTACTTCTGATTGATGCGAGTGTCCCTCCTCGGAAGACCGATCTAGACTGCGCAAACTGGCTTGGACGCAACAATGTTTGCTTTATCCTTATGACAATCTTGATTTCACTTCCCTGGCTTTAAATTTAGCTGTTTCTGATTTGTTTCTGTTTGTTCCAATTTCAGATACCAATGACATTTGTGTTCACAAAGTGTGACAAAATGAAGGCAAGCAAAGGAAAAAGGCCTGATGAGAACATTAAGGATTTTCAAGAAGTGATTAGATAAAATTATAAGCAACATCCCCAATGGATCATGACTAGCAGTGTCACTGGTCTTGGCAGAGATGAGCTTCTCCTACATTTGTCACAACTAAGGAACTATTGGGATCAATAGTACTGGACTGGTTTACTAAGTTTAATGCACAAGTCAAAGCATATACAACTAATGAATAATTGGCTTAAATATATATTTGGTATCTACACTAGGCACCTTCTCCCAAGTTGGAATATAAAGAATTTTTCTATTAATGCTCTCTAGGGTCGAGGCATGAGTAATATATTGCATATCATTTCTTCCTTGATGGTCTTGTATGAGGTTCACCTCGTCTCCCAAGACATTTGTATTGGCAGCCGCTTGCTCTTGTTGGCGCCTTTGTTCAGCATTGGAAGTCCCTTCATCCTCCCTTCTATGTTCAATTCCCAGCTGTTGAGAGATCAGAAGCCCTTGGAGAGCTTTTTGAGTCAATTCTTGTTATTGCTGGTTTTTTTTACAACTGTAGATAGGCCGCCTGGGAGGCTCGAAACTATGCTTGCGGGTTTCTTAGTTCAACTTGCAAGTTGTTGACTTGAGGGAGGTTTTGAACATAGGTATACACATACTACTGGTAATACTACTGGGGGAAATAGTGATTGGATTGGTTATAGGCGTCATAACAGGCTTGGTACGATGCATAATATAAAGAATCTTACGTGTTATTTTATTGTTGGTTGGAAGAGCAAGTTATATCAGATGAGTTTTGTGACGAGAACAGTGGGTTAGACTGATTGGACTGAGATGGCTCTTGAAGATCTGTCGTGGTTGGTTCTTCTGAGTTTGAGGTGTGCTCCATGCTCATTGCTCCAATTGTTGATGGAACAAAGTGGATTGTATCGATTAATGGTGATTCATCCTTCCTCGTTTGGACGAAGAGCTGCATTTGGTAAACGGTTGATGGTCAACCGGTTGCGAATAGAGGATGATAGAGGTAGGTTGAAGGGAAAATACTTCTTAGTCGGGAAAAAATAGTTTTACGTGGTTCACCCTTATGTTATCGGTTTTCCTTAGCCGTAACACCTGTTAACCCTTTCCCTTTAACTGTTAACGGAAGTAACAACCCTTTCCCTTTAACTGTTAACGGAAGTGTTACGTGGTAATTAAAAAATAAAAAATAAAACAATAACAAAATTTGAGACTATGGTGCGGCTTGGAAAGTGGTGCATTGTTCAAAACAATTACAAAATCACATCACGCAAATTGGAAAGATTAATCATTTTTCTGAAAAAATACAAAATTGCGTACGCGTTATTCTTTTTTGTCCATCTTTTGTACTCTCCATGTTGACTGAATAAATATATCAGATCGATGATTGTAGATCAATGTATAAACTAATGTCAAAAGTATGTGTAATTATGAATTATTGAGCCAGTATATAGACTAATAGATAAGGAATATCAAATATGCGATTGCAGATTTGATGGTTAAAGAAAAATGAGAGAAATTTTCTCAAAAAAAAAAAAGAACGAGAAAAATGAATGAATGATTTCAGGTGGTGATTAAGGAAGTATAAGACAACAAGATCAAAGTAAGTTGGTGGTAAAGGATTAGAAGTACTATCAAGACAAGGATTAAGAAGCAAAATAATTGAGATTTCAGATTAGATTCGAATCATTATTTTAGTTATCCGAAATTTTAGATATTTAAATTTTCGGATCGAATTCGATATTCGAATTTAGGACTTACCAGCCCGCGTATGCATTTTTGAGTTAATCATTTGTTCTGCGTTATGATACCTATTATGTGCATCATATTATTCCTACTTGTTCCGTATTCTCTGAATTATTTATCTGTCTGGTGATATATATTCTGTTATTGTGCTTATATATATTCCACTAGTATGTTACTAGTTTCAATTTGTATGTATGTTTTGATAAACTATTTCTTGTTTTGACCTCAACTTATCTGTTTGTTCTGTTTATTGTACCCTTATATCATACTGATTTTAGTTAAGTCTGTCTCAAACGATGGGTAGGCATTGCGTTACATTTTAAAATGAGTTTTTTAAAATATTTTATAAGAAAGATTAATTTATTAAATTTGAAATTATGATGAATCTACGAGGTATTTTTACCAAAATTCATCATGAAAAACGATTAAAAATATTGTCTAATCTTCGCTTACAACTTTCTCTGCCAATTTTCTAAAAACCAAATGAGAAGTTTGTTTTCCCTTCGAACGAAACGAACTCAAATAACATTCATGTGTGATCCTTTAAATTTTGAAACCTTGTGACGGCCTGAATTTAGCTCATCTTTTTTTGTTTCCCTCTTTTCAGATAATTCATATTGTGAGGGATTAGGTTCAATAAATACTCTAGGGATTTAGATATCGATTTTGCAAATACATTATAATTTGATTCCTTTATTTTTGTATTAAACTATGGCATAAGATTTTTCATTTTCATAATTGTTTTGGGGATATTAAACTAGTTTTACTTATAATTGGTATTTATTTAATGGTTTTCTATTTTTTGTAATCCGATTTTTTGGGTTACTCTAGTAACAACTGTGACATTCAAAATTCAGTTGTAACATTTAAATTAAGCATAAAATGAAATAAGTAATTATGATTTAAATAAGCTTAATCTTCTTCTTTTTTACTTTTATAATGAAATGTTGATTTTATATTTGGTTTATATTAACCATGATTATGAATTCTTATTTTAAAAATGAATTTTATGTTTAAAGTATCTTTACGTAAAATAAAATTAATTATTAAATAATAAAAAGTATACATATATTTGAATATTTTTTATTAATAAGTAGAGAAGTATTAATAAATATTTATTTATCATAATAATAACAATAAGGTATAATGTCAAATTAGTCTTCTAATGTTTATTAAAATGATTATTTTGATTCATATTCTTTTTTGGAGCATTTGGACTCATAACATTTCATTTTAGGGCAAAAAGGCCCCTCCGTGGATGGAAACTATTAGTTAGCAAACGATTAAATAGGGGTCTTTTATTAAAAAATGAAACGTTAGGTGCCAAAATGTTCTAGAAAAAAAAGAATAAGAGTCAAAGTGATTATTCAGTTAATCGTCATGGACCTTTTTGCCCTAAAATGAAATATTGGGACTAAAATACTATAAAAAAAAGAATATGGACAAAATGATCATTTTGATAAATGATGGAAACTTTTTTACCCTAAAGTGAAATGTTCAAGACCAATATACTCAAAAAAACATAAAAAATTAAAATAATCATTTTAATAAACATTATTTTTTTTTTCATTATGCCTAATAATAAAATCTAGTTTTTTTCCCATGGGATTGCTAGCTTTTCTCATAAAATGAATTGCAGGCCTGGGCCTGCTTCTTTAAAGAAATAAATAAAATATGACACAAATTTAACTATAATATTATCCAATTGATCAAGTATAGGAAGAAAAAGTAGTTTTCCGGTGAGTGGTTCAAGTGTTGACTTACTTGTTTAAAAAAAATGATGAGAGATAATAAAATAAAAGTGTAAAGTACATAAATGGTCCCTAATCATAGGATACTTCTTTATTGAGTCCCTCAACTATTAAGAGTTACATAATGATCATTTGACTATTTATTAAATTCTAAACTCGTTCTTTTCCGTTAAAAAATTAACAGTCATTTGAGTTGAATGTTAACATGCGGACTAAGATATGATAGTTGTTTGAGATTATAAGATCATATTTTATCATATCTCAGTCAGCAGGTTAACATCCAACTCAGATGTCGACAATTTTTTAACGGTAAATTACGAGTTTGGAACATAATGAATAGTTAGCAGAGGCGGGGCTATAGGCAACACAACTTGTGCGACCGAACAGGGCCCCGGAATGGAAAGGGCCCCAAAATAATTAGATTTATTACAATAAAAATCTCATTTTTTGAGGGTCTAACTCCACTTTACGAGAAATGAGCTCATCTTCATGATCTCCATATCCCACACCGTTAGGATTTGAGTTAGTAATATCACAAATCTCCCTATATATACTACATTCAAGCTTTGCAATTTTTACTAAGAGTTTCTTTTTAAGAATTTAAGGGCCTCTTTTTAAGAATTTGCATAGGGCCTCCAACATCCTAGCCCCGGCCCTGATAGTTAGGTGACTATTTTGTAACTTTTAATAGTCGAGGGACTCAACAAAGCAACTCTATATAATTAAGGGATTATTTTATAACTTTTAAAAGTCAGGAGACTCAATAAAGTAGTATCATATAGTCGGAGGACCATTTATATACTTTACCCAAAATAAAAATATATATACCGTTTTAGTTTTATGGCACAAAGTTGAAAGTAACCACCAGGATAAATAGAAATTTTGATGTTTATTATTTTGTGGAACACTTTCATTCCTTACATTTTAATTTGCGATTAAAACGATAATATTATATGAAAAATGTTAATTAACTAACGATTAATGTATATTGCTAACGTGACATTTTTTACATATATTAAATTGTTTATATGTCATATGTCTTACCACCCAAATTAATGATATGACATATGTAATATCACTTAAGGTAATAACATAACATATAACATGTCATTGAATGTAATGATGTGACATGTAACAAGTCACCCAAGATGATAATGTAACATGTGACACATAACCTTAAGTGATGACATCATGTCAGCAATTAAACATTTAAAAATGATATATCATCAATATTCGTTAATCGTCAATTAATGATTTTCATAAAACATGAGTTGTTTTAATCAAAAATTAAAACATTATATGCTAAAATATTCTAATATATATATATATATATATATATACACTAAAGTGATTATTGGAATAAATGTTAGGAACTAATTTTATCATTATGTCAAAATAAATCTAACTAATTAACATAGTTGAAGATGCTTGACAGTTAATTAAGCTGCATATTATAAAAAAATCAGTTTTTTGTTGTCCTTCTGATCTTAAAGTTTCGTTCGATTAATCTAGACCGACCCGCATCGCAAACTTAAGTTGCATAGTATAAAAAAATCATTTTATAATAATATTATTACTTTATTTGTAACGTGTGTGTTTGTGGTAGCATTCAATATTATTTGAATACTCACTCAATCTAATTATAATGGACAAAATTTGAGTACAAGAAAAAGAAAGAGGTAAATCAATGATTTGACTCAAACCCTGAGTTTGAAGCTCCGAGTCGGACGATTATTTCAATCTTTTTGCAGCCGAAAAGACATTGGTGTTTCTCTTGTCGTGTTCTTCCTTGTCTGAATTATGAAAACAAATTGCCAAATGCAATTTTGTAGTACTCCATCTCTTCCCTTCATAAACCAACCCTGTTTATTCTTCATACACATATAGCTTTCAGTCGATCTAATTGTTTCATTTGTTCGTGAAAACATCAATATGAGCAAGAGGGGAAGCACAGAGAGCAGACTAAGTAGGTATCTAAAGGTGCCCATCAGGTTTCTGATGAAGGCTGGCGATTTCTACGTTAAAAGCATGACTGAGTACTCGGAAAGGGTTGGATATGGCACCGTTATGGGGTGCCCAACAGGTCAAGTTCATGCTTTGCCGAGGAGCTACAGTGTTGGTTCGACGAGATCGGGACATGGCGACGATGACTATCGGGAACTTATGAGGGCAGCTTCCGCTAGAAAGTTCGACAACAACAAGGCGAGGCGGCAGTCTCCAATCATGCCTAGAAGTCAGAGTGTTGGGATTGGGAGGATTGATGAAGACGAGCCTTGTGAATTTGAAGATGATATTATCAAGGTGAAGCCTGCTTATTTCCCTAGGAGCAGGAGCTATGCTGTTACAAACAGAAAAGGTGGTTTGTAATGTCGATATTAGTCCTCGACATTTATTCGAATGTTCATTTTAATCTCTATTCTATTTTTAGCATTTTAGCTTCTTCGTTGTAATGTAAATTAGGAGCCTGAAAATCATGTGTTTTTGTAATACTCCTATGAAACTAAAGCTTCTGCCTGCAATTTAGAGTTGGAGATGTTAAGCTTAATAAAGTAATAATGTAAATAAATTGTATATATTATATATAAACTATATACAAATTTAGGGTTTTGAATAATCTAATACAGAATTAGCCTATTAGAATTTGAAACCTTAACCTCCCATCATCATAATTTAAACCTCAATCATTAAGGTTTGTTGAGATCTCAGGTTTGAGCACCGCATATGCAAGGGTGTATGAGCAAGGACATAGTCAGAATTCCAATTTAAGAGGACAAAATATAATTAATCATAGAAAATGAGGGGACAAACTATAATTAACCATAGAAAATAAGGGGGGAATCAAAATAAACTAAAATTTGGAACCCTAATTTAATATTTACCCATATTTTTTTAATAATACAAAAATATGGTACATTGGCCCCGAAACGAAGCATACATTCATCCATATGTATGAGTGTTTATTGTTAAATGATAGAATTTTTAAACAAATATTAAACATGTCTTATAAAGCACAAATATATAAGAATGGTATTTTATATATCTATTTGAAATAATATGACATTACATCATATAGAAATATCTTTCTATTAATCAGAAAAAATAACATCTTTCTAGTATTTTAGAAACATAATGGCAAAAAAAGAACTTCCAATGTATCATTTTTTTATTGTAACGTTAAAGTGTTTTTTTTTTATAATTTAATATTTAATATTTCTTTATTTTTTAAATAAATCCATATTGGATGATCAATTGACGACAATCAATATCTTTATTAACGTGACATGAAAACATTAAGGGGCAATTGAATAAACTAGCAAACATTGAGGGTTTCTTTTTCTATTATGCTTTTTCACTTTTGATATATAATTTTATCACGTCTTTAAATAAAATAACTAATAAACACTACTTAATGATTGAAATCAAAATTAGTATCTTTATATGTAAATATTTTATCATTCTACTTGTGATTATTCACCAAATCATTTTTATAAATACTTTTGTATAAAATATTTGTTTAATACTCAAATAAGTGTCCAAACTATACATTTTCCCCCCAAATAAGTTCCTACAATATTTTTTAGATCATTCAGGTGCCTAACGTTACAAATGTGACCACTTTAGGTGCCCGGGACGAAACGACCGTTAGTTTTCTCCGTTAAATGACATTTGTCACAATCTGCTAATTTTGAAATTTATTTTTAAATATTATTATATTTATAAAACCCCTAATTTCTTTTAAATTATAAAAAAGCCTCAAAGTCCCTAAATCCTAACACTAACACACCGATGTCACCCTTTCCGGCCATGACCACCACCGCCAACGTAATCCCTACCATTATCCTAGTTATACGACGCCATAGTTGTTGTCGATTGGCTGTCGAAATCGCGTGGGATCACGATTTTCATCCTAGGTTTCACAAGGTATAAAACCTTGATTCGTCATTTATCGACTGTCAATCGGTCACGATTTCATAGGGGTTTTGGTCATCGAGAAGAGGTGAGATTGGGTAGAGCTTCGTCAACGACAAAGGGTGACAGTAGGTGTGGGTTTAGGGGTTGAAATAAAAGTTTTTAAAGTTTTGGGGTTATTTCAAAAATTATGTGTTTTCTTTGTAAAGAAAACATATAATTCTATTTTTTAATTTTCATATAAATTTTTAAAATTATTAGATTGTGACACGTGTCACTTAACGACGGAAGTTAATGTCGTTGAAGGCCTGGGTACCTAAAGTGGTAACGTTAGGCACTTAGATGAGCCAAAAAAATATTGTTGCCTCCTATTTAGGAAAAATGTATAATTTGGGTACTTATTTAAGTATTAAGCCTAAAATATTTTTCACTAACATAACGAGTGATATAAAATCTAGTCCATAAGCTATATACAAATTGTAGTAGTTTAACTTTTTTCCTCGTAGATCGTAGAAGAGAGAGGTGTACATACCAGAGTTTTGAATAATCTAGTACATCATCAACGAGTGATGGATCGAGGGATTATCCTCTTGAAAATTTTAAATTCTATTGTATTTTAAATTTTTTTATCTATTTTCTATTGATAATTTATTTTCACATCTCCTAAAATTTTATAAGTTCACTCCTCTCTGAAACTTTATAAATTCGTCATCTAATACAAAATTATGCATCCATCCCTGCAATCAATCTATTAGAATCTAAATTCTAACCTCCCAACATCATGACTTAAACTTCAATTGTTAAGGAGTTGTTGTTATCCTTTAGAGATTTCAAGTTCGAGCAATGTATATGCAAGGATGTATGAACATTTATTATAAAATAATAAAGAATTTTCGAACAATTACTACCTTATGTTCACCCATTACCAATTAAAAATAATATTAAACATGTCCTATAATGCACAAATATATGAGAATCTTACTTTATATATCTATTTGAAATATATATGACATTACATCATATAAAAATATATTTCTAGTTTTTAGAATATAATGGAAAAAAAAACTTTCAATGATTCATTTTTTTAATTGTATCTTTAAAGTGTTTTTTTAATAATTTAATATTTTTTATTTTTAAACAAGCTCATATTGGATGATTAATCATTAATTGATAGTCAATTGACAATTAATATTTTTAGGATAAATTATACGAGTGATTATCAAACTATTATCATTTTGATCACTGATATTTCCATTTCGTAAATTTGAAAACTTCTAGAAACCATCTTCAGAGATATAATTGTCGACATACGTTTTCGTCCGAAGACCGTTATCATTATTATTATTATTATTATTATTATTACTTATTTTATTTATGTGGCATGCCAAATTGCAAACTCAAATTGGGCCCAAATACAACCGGTCCAAGTAACCCAGTGGGCCCAAACTGAAACCCAAATAACAAGCCCAAGCCCACTGAGATTAGGGCTTGTTGAAACCCTAGCCTCCCGCACCGTCGCCGCCTCCACTGCCAACCGAGAAGACTATGTATCCGATACTATTTCAACCATCGGTATTCGTCATTCGGCATGTCACACCCCAAATTAGGAGTTAAATTATAAGTTTTTAAAACTTATAAGCAATTTTAGAAAGTTACGGGAAATTCGGGGACCCAGGTTTGAATTATCCCATTTTTTTGGTAAAGTGAAAAATAACCCCCGATCAAACATCTAAAATCCCCAATTTCCCTACCCCAACCCTAGCCGCCGCGCCCTTCTGACGATTCACCCCACTCCGACCGTCGTCGCGGTATTCTGACCGTCCCAATCGAACCGGTGTCCCACCCTGACCAAACCCCAACTCGAAGTCTCCTGATCTACTGCTAATCCCTAGGATGGAACGATAGAAGGTTCATCGAAAACTCCCGAGAATCGGAATCCCCAGCTCCGTGAGACCAAAACTCGATCGGGTTTTTCGGTCGAAAATCGTCATGTCACCGACCGCCGTCTTGGGTAATCTTTGATCATTTTTTGGTTAATTTCAACGTGGTCTTGGCTTGATGCTCAGCCGGTCACCCCAACCTCGTTCCCACCACTGTATGCGCGTGGGGCTCATCCCCAATTCTAGTTCCTTCTAGAACCGATCCAGTCGGTCTGGTCCAGTCTGAAATGGCCTGACCCGGTCTGAACCAATCTATTTAACTCAAACCGAGGCAACCCGACCAAATCCGTCGACATTGACCTGACTCAATGACTTTAACCCGACCTGTTGACTTTGACTGGTCTAACTGATGACTTTGACCGATTTGACCGTTGACTTTGACAAAAAGTCAAATTTTCCAAAAAAGTCATATTTTATGTTTTTCGACATCCTGAGTCCGAATCTGAAGTCTGTTTTTGCCAAATTCGTATTCGGTAAGCCATTTTTTAGTATTTTACCTTCAGATTCAATTTGGTTTCTCAATTAAGTTCAATTTCTGACGTAAATTCATTTGCTATGTATCCGAGGAATTATTGGATATTGAATTCAAGTTCGAGAGTGATCGAATGGAGTTTAAATGTTCAGTCGGTGGAGCATGGAAATCGAGGTAATACATTACTACCTTATGCATGCTTTATGAAACATGTTGGAATTGGTAAATACATGGATGTATATGTTTGGTCTCATCTATATAGTAAATTATTTCTAAACTCGATTCGGATACGGTAAAAAGTCGATAACTGAATATGACTCAGATGACTCGTATAGGATATTGGGGGACCGATAGGAATTAAATTACAAGTTCTGAGAGTAAGTGGTAAAGCAATCAATCTCTGGATCTGTTAATTCTGATTTATCTTGAAGGTTAAATGCCAAAGGTACTTCGATGAAAAATTATGACAATACTTCGGTTATGTAAAATTATGAAAATACCCTTATGGGGTAAAATTACGAAAATACTCCTATGTTGTAAAAAGACAATAATTTTCCTTGGAAGTTGAAAAATAACCCCGAAAAGATATATTGATCCGATAAAACTACTGATGTACATAGAAAATGCTAGTCTTTCTTAGAAAATCTGGATAATCAATTTCTAAACTCCAAGATGGAAAAAGATTTAAAATTTATGGTGTTTGGACAAAACCACTTGATAAATAAATTACTAGAATGATGCAAATGTTTGAATCAAAGAAAATAATTGAATACCCTTGAACAATAACATGACCAAAATGTCCCTAGAGTGTAAATGACCTATGGTAACCCCAAGTCATAGAATGATTTAATTTTTGTTCGTCTCCCTAAGATCCATTCAGCGATGATTCTGAAGATGATCAATTCGACAAGAGTTGTCTGTATTAAAGAGTGATTACCCTTGAAGTGCAACGATTTGACCGGTTGACATGTATCAGTGTTAGAATTTGTTCAGTTCGAGTTAACTCGATATTCCGATAGATCAACACAAATCTTAAATGACCTGAA